TTGCACATTACACTCAAGCTGATTGCTTAGCATTCCTGGAAGCTAACAACCTTTTCAGATTAGTTCCTAAATTTGTCGAGGCAGAGAGGTTGTTGGGCCCCTGTTAGTAAGCCTTAGTCACCCTACTTTGGGTGCAACCATAATTGAGGGAATGGGTATAAAAAAAAGTGATAGTGGAATACTTGTAAAGGCCATCAAAAATAAGAAGCAGGTCAACTCCAAAGAGTTGTAACAGTATTAAACTTGCATTGTGTTGAAGTTTATAAAAATCAGTGACAGGAGTCTAAAAGTTAGAGTATACCTATCTGCCTAGCAAGCCCATGTTATTGTTTCCTCATCTTGTGATAGGAATAAATTTCAACCTAGCTCCCAGAGTCCTCTCCTACTTGTCCCCTCTAACTCTACGGAACAAGTGGAAGAATACCCTGGGAGCAAGGTTGGAATACGTTTTGAGTGCAAATATGCACACCCGGTACAAACGTCCCAAAGAAAGATCAGTAGACAGTAGGTAATAGCCAGTGCAAGCCTTATTGTACAATTATTAGAGTGGACTCTAGTGAAATGAACTTTTCTTAAAGGGCCAACCATTAATTGACTTTTGAGGGGGTAGTATGGGTGATTTGGTATTTTCCTAAACCTCTACTGATAGAATTTTTCCCTAACATACAACGGTGCAAAAATTCTTTCCAGGATTATAAGCCACGAAAGATTTTTTTTTTCATTGTAGGAATGAATTTTTTTCCCCTTGAAATCAGTCTGCAGGATATGTTTTCTGAAATCGCCCATACCCCGCTGAAAGTGAAATAGTTGGCCCCCAAAAGGTGTATACAGAAACACAATTGAGGACTTTGCTTAGATTTTATGTACTTTACAAAGCATGAACTCAAGCAGAATGTAAATTTGCTGACAGAGGTACATGTACCTTAACACACTTTAAAGCCGCAGTTATGGGCTGTCATTTAGATCCTGCTGTTATGTATTGTTATGCAGGCAACGTTGAACTTGTTCTAGCTGTGCTTGTTGGGTAAAAAGGACCTACCTTCATGAAAGGGTGTGGCCAGGAGGGGGGCACGACTCCAATAGCGCCTGGTACTTGTTTCGTATACCTATGGTCCACCGATTTATGACGTCACATCTGGTCCGGCCGCGTACTTCTCTCCCGCGGGCGGGAAAATCAAATTTGACAGCAACAGTTTCCTTTCGTCAGTAAGTAACTTTTAATTTACTGCGTTTCTTTCCCTGTTTCTCGTAAAGACTACGACAAATATGTGTTCTCTTGCCTCATTTCATTAGCTAAGTGAAGAGACCAATTTGATACTTTAAAATGTGACGTTTTTTAGCCTTGCCTTCGTTGAAAAAATGTCGTTATTTCTTTTCCCCGAATTTCAGACGATTCTGTAAATCACTGGAAATCCTGAGTTCTAGGTAAGCACAACTTTATTCAAATATAATTTCCTGTGGAGTAATAATCCGCATAGCAAAAAATGACAAATTAAGCGTTCTTTACTGGTCAGGACTCCGTATCACGCCTCGTTTTTGTGGGAAACCGGTCCAGAAAACAACCTGCTTTCTTCATTGACCGTAATGCGTAATAGGTACTTTGAACACATAGTGGAAAAACAGGGTGCTCTTTGTCACCACCTAGACTTTACTTCCACCTTTTTTATATTACCCCTTCGCTTGGGGTTCACCTTTGTCTACTGGAGTAATTTAAGTAGTAATATTATGGTTATCGAAAGGTTATCCAAAAAGATCAAAATTATGCTTATAAAGGGCAGTATTTCCGTGATCAATTTTTTGTACCCAAGTTTGCTGAACAATCCAAGCAATGTAAAACCAATGACCTGGCCTGACTTTGGATGGCTGTCAGAAATCAAATATTAATGTACAAAAATCTTTCACCATGAACCCTGAGATGTGCTGAGTTAGCTTGTGTGTGTTTTTTTATGATTCAGTGAATGTTGCCTGCTAGTGATACGAATCGAATCACAACAAGAAAGGGTGGAGAGCTTATCAGAGATAGGGGACTTAATAAATTTTGACCTTTGAAAACGGGGATTATAACAAGAGGGACTATGGTAAAAAAATATTCACAGCCCCTATGGTACAAATGAAATCTCAAGAAGAATCTGATTGAAAGTTGTCAATTTTACTTTCACCTTGTTTTCGTTACTCAAATTTATTTCCACCTTTAATATTTTAAATTAAGATCACTGTTAGCCTATCAATCAACCATTTTTTTCAAGAAATAGCACTGAAAGCTCATGAAGTTACATCAAATAGATTTAAATGATCACCTAAGATTAACTGCTTCCCTGCTAAAGTGTCATTTATAATAATAATAATAATAATAATAATAATAATAAGAAGAAGAAGAAGAAGAAGAACATTTATGTGGCGCCTATCCAGTAATAGATCTAGGCGCTTAACAAAGTGAAAAAATTAGAATTCAAATTAAATTGATTCAAATTAATAAGAAATAAGGGAAGAACATGGTGGA